GTGTGTGTGTGTGTGTGTGTGTGTGTGTGTGTGTGTGTGTGTGTGTGTGTGTGTGTGTGTGTGTGTGTGTGTGTTTCAGGAGGGACGGGCAGTCCTTGGAGAGGTTTCTGAACGATTACTTCGCAGGTCGTTTGAAGCGTTTCATAAAGTCTGAACCGATCCCTGAGAGGAACTCTGCTGCAGTCAAGGTGAGTTTACCTGTCAGCCAATAAGAGGGGAGCCTGGTGATGTCAGCCAATGAGAGGAGAGCTAATACACTTTATTATTAAATAATCCTCAGACGGTGGTGGCGGAGAATTTTGACGATCTGGTCAACAGCCCGGAGAGAGACGTTCTGATCCAGTTCTACTCTCGATCCTGTTCTCACTGCAAGAAGCTGGAGCCGGTGTACACAGAGCTGGCTGAGACGGACACACACACACACACACACACACACACACACACACACACACACACACACACACACACACACAACACACACACACACACACACACACACATACTCACATAGCACACACACACACACACACACACACACACACACACACACACACACACACACACACACACACACACAACACACACACCACACACACACACACACACACACACACACACACACACACACACACACACACACACACACACACACACACACACCACACACACACACACACACACACACACACACACACACACACACACACACACACAGTACTCACATAGCACACACACAGTACACACACTGTACTCACACAGCACACACACACAGTACTCACACTTACACACACACAGTACTCACAATGTACTCACACTGTACTCACACAGCACACACACACACACACACACACACACACACACACACACACACACACACACACACACACACACACAGTACACACACAGTACTCACACAGCACACACACACAGTACACTGAGGGACTTTTACGTATTAATATAAACAAAAACAAAAAAAATGTATAATTTCGAACTATAAAACTTCCCAGAATGCCCCATGTTTTTCTGCTCACCTGCAGCCGGAGGTGTGTTATCATAATGTTTTTGTTTATGTTTACCTGTGTGTTTATGTTTACGTGCGTGTGGTCAGCTGTCCTCTAATCCCAACATCTTGATCGCCCGGATGAACGCCGGCAACAACGACGTCCCCAACGGATACGACGTGCAGGGGTGAGCTCCTGTTCCACATGAATATATAACAATATATACATGTGAGTGTACTGTGTATATAAACACTATACCTCTCTCTGCAGGTATCCCACCATCTACCTGGCCCGGGCCGGCAGGAAGGACGAGCCAATCAGATACGAGGTGAACACACCTGTCACTACACCATGTCATATATAGATAGATCCAACAAGAAGGACTTCTTATGGAGTGATAGAGACTCTGTAGGAACCTCTGACCTAAATATGTTAATAAATGTGAACGTGTCTTCATCAAATGACGCTCTTATCTAATCCTGATTGGATAATTAATAATACATGTGATTGTCTCTCCTCAGGGGGGGCGGGAGCTCAGAGACTTCCTGAAGTTCCTGAAGAGCGAATCGACTCATCGGCTGAGAGTCGGGGCGGCGAAGGTCGAGCTCTGACACGCCTCCATCGTCCAATCAGAAGAGACTACAGCCCGAGCTCTGACACGCCTCCATCGTCCAATCAGAAGAGACTACAGCCCGTGTTCTGACACGCCTCCATCATCCAATCAGAAGAGACTACACCCCGTCTCCATGACAACGGACCGAGACAGACTTCTAAATTATGTTTTTTATTTATTTATTTATTGAGATGTGCATGTGAAAGGGGACGTGGTCACTTTGCAAGTTTTTGGGGTTCTTTGGAGGACGTTGAAAGGCATTCTGGGGAAAGTAGTGAATGATATTTGAGATTGAAACATGTCTTTTTGTATGTATGAGTCCTTTCATTTGGGTCTTTTCAAAAGAGAAACACCCCCCCCCCCCATATCAATTAAATGATGAGTGATATATTTGATCTTTTTTTTATTGGTTCAGTTTTTGAGACTTTATTATTTGAACTTCTTTTTTTTATATTTCCTCATTTTTTTATTATTTTATATTTTTTTATTTTACAGATGTATTAATTGTAATTTCACTTCCTGTCACTACTTCACTGTTATTGATGTTTATTTAATGCTGACCTCTTTATTGATTTCTGTCAATCTGTGTTTTTGTATTTTTGACAAATCTTTTATTTAAACTTCATGTTTTTGTATTTTGTGAAAAATCTGAGCCTTATTTTAGGAATATTTAATAAAACGGACTGAAATAAACCGGAGTCTGTGTACTGATATAACTATAGAAACAGGTTGCAGAGTTTTATTCAGTGTGTAGTAAACTGTATACAAACAACAGGTATTAAATATTAACTACTTTCATTTAGAATAACATTATAAACCCTTAACTCACACTAAGAATTATATATTCAATCCTCAATCAAACCCTACTTCATATTAATATTTAATAACCCTATTGTCTCCAACTCAGGACAATATGTTATTATACACAGGTTAAAATAGAGACTACACCCCGTAGGAGCGGAAACCCAGAGTTGCCCCTGAAGTTACCTCGCTAAGCGAAAATCCAGCTTCATAGTACAGGCCTCTGGTGTACACAGAGCTGGCTGAGATGGTACACACACACACACACACACACACACACACACACACACACACACACACACACACACTCAGTCACACTCACACACACACTGCAAGAAGCTGGAGCTGGTGTACACAGAGCTGGCTGAGAAGGTACACACAAACACACACATGGTACACACTCACAAACATACACACACAGTACTCACACACATACACGTCTCACACACACATTACTCACACACACACACACACACACACACACACACACACACAAGACAATATTTCATTAAATATTAAATATAACATCTTTTATGACTTTATACCTTTAAACACATCACAACTTGTATTACACCATAATAACATCTGAATGAATGTTTAGTGATGAAATGTCTTCTTGAATAACAGTCATTATTAGAAACAAACATGAGAAAGTTAATTCTGCATCATGTAAACTCCAAAGGGAGTCCGGTTGGTTCTCACCATAAAAGGCTGAGCCCGTTAACACTTTAGCCCTTTCAGCTCATTCACCCGATTGGTGAACGCGCCTGTCAATCACACTGATGCCCTCCACTGATTGGTCAGACCTGCGGTTGTTTTCCCGCCCCCGAGCCTTCATCCCTCCTTCTCCTCGTGCCTCCCAGAACCTTCCAGTCTGAAGATCCTGCACGCGCTGTCAAAATGATGGGCCAGCAGGTTTTAGTGCTCAGTAAGTACCGATAAATACTTTAAATGTACTTTAACATGCATTCTCTGACGGGGGGGATGTGCGTTGTGATTATCGGCGAGATGTGTAGCCGGTAACCGGGAGAGCTGCCGGGCTGCGACACAAAGAGGAACCGGAGCTAGTGGAGCTAATGTGGCTATATGCTAAATCCTAGTCGGGTTAACATCACTGAGCTAACCGGCTAACAGCTAACCATGTGGCTAACCGCTAACTGTTAGCATCACTGAGCAGCTAATCCCATAATACAGAACTGTTATTTGTTAGCGAAGTCACTATGAGTTTATAAATGCAGTAAAAACTACAATATTTGCCTTTTGAAATATATTTGAGTGGAAGAATAGAGAATGCGTTAAATAAATACAAATATTAAATTAGAAATATATTAAAGTAGTTAAATACAATACTTGACTACGCTCCGTTACTTTCCATCACTGTCCTTATTCTGAGATGGTTTAATAAGTTAAGTATATATTTATTCCGTCTTTGTCTATAATCAGTTAGATATTAAATGACTCTTTGGATGTTTTTGAAACAGTTTTTAAAAAGGCGACACTTTATTCACCATAAAACAGATGGTTGGAGCTAGCAGCTAGCACCTGACGGTGCTAAAAACCTGCTTTTAATGTGGCTGTTATTCAGACACTATCTGGTTTAATATTCACACTGTATGTTCAAGATATCTAACAGATCTGTGCAGGAAACACACTTCATATCCCGGGTGATATTCACTGTTCTCCGGTGTCTTTGTCAGCCGGATAAACGCGCAGTCATCCAGCATCATGCTAAGCTAACACTTTAGCATCGTCAGTTAGCCTCATTGCGTGTAAATGTTTTTATTTATTTATAATTGAATGGCTTTAGATGAGCAGTGTTTTCAGATGTGTTTACAAAGAGTGAGATGAGAGCTAACGGGGCTAATGCTAACACAATGTGCTGCAGTCAGCCACACCCTCACTGAGGAACCATCCCATAATATATCGGAATGAGCTGCTACCAGCTGCTGTCATGGTGCTAACAGGCTGCTTATTGGAAGTATAAAGTCTGTTATTAGTAGTAGTTAAAATGTGAATTAAACAGTATCATTGTTAGTATATATTATTTTTATTGTTTAACAGATGTTGGTTATAGTTTAAATGTAAGCTTTTAACAAGCATCAATTCCAACACTTTTATTAAACATATCTATGGCATTGGGATATATATATTTTAAAAATCCTCTGGAGCAGAGAGAGGAGCTGGGGATTGTTGTTATTGATTAATGGATCGATGTTTCTTCAAAAACACTAAACTCACAACTTAAAATGAAAGCATTTAGTTTATTTAATACAAGAGCACATGTTCAATGTGAAAAGTGACAGTGGATATAGATTAGTTGCAATTTGGTGCTATATAGATATAAAGTGTTTTAACACCTTGAATTTCAGGGGGGCGCGGGGCTCCGTTAGCGGGGCTCCGTTGGCGGGACGCAGCGCCCCTCCAAGACAATGGTAGGGGAAACACTGGTATGAGGTAATACTGCTTATCTTGTGTTTGTATAAGGTTTATAAATTCTGCGTACGTAAACAACAACGTGACATCCGAGCTCCGTGAAAACAAAGCTGTCTCTGCGTCTGACGCTCCGTTTTGAAGAGATATTGTTTTCCGGCATCACTTAATGGGGAAATCTGCATTTTGGTTTGAGGGCGCACTCCGAGTGAGAGGGGGCAGAGACCCCGAACAGAGTGAGAGGGGGCAGAGACCCCGAACAGAGAGAGCTTCCTGCACCTCCTGGGTCTCATGTCTTAGCTCTGGACAGACGTCACAACTCTTTCCTTCTGTATATATAAATGTCTTCTCTTCCTCACAGACCAGAACATGAAGAGGGAGTCGGGCCGTAAGGTCCAGACGGGGAACATCGGCGCCGCCAAGGTCTGTTTTTCTGCATCTTATCAAAGCTCAGACTGCGTGCTCTTACTTTGAAATGCTGTCAGGATGTTACACGCTGCTGAGCCATATAGATTATAAGAGTTATATTAAGAGTTCCCAATATTCATTAAAGGTTTGGTATTAAATCACAGAGCGCCTGCAGACTGAACCGAGGAACTCGCTCATGGTGCTGATGTGTGTTCAGATGTTTCTTTAATGCATGTATAATGAAGTCTTTAATTGATTAATGATTGTTTTATTTTAAATTGATGGTTTTAAATGTGCTATATGAATAAATGTGACTTGTGTGTTTCAGACGATCGCTGATGTGATCCGGACTTGCCTCGGCCCGCGGGCCATGATGAAGGTCAGCCTGCAGAGCACTCACTCTAACACACACTTCAATATGACCCAGTCTAAACTGCACACACACTCACTCACTCACTCACTCACTCACTCACTCTCCCCCCCTCACTCACTCTCTAACACACACACACTCACTCACTCTCTAACACACACTCACACTCTAACACACACTCTAACACACACTTCAATATGACCCAGTCTAAACTAACACACACACACACACACACACACTCTCTCTAACACACACTCTCTCTAACACACACTCTCTCTCTAACACACACTCTCTCTCTAACACACTCTCTCTCTAACACTCTCTAACACACACACACTCACACTCTAAC